GGTACGTTTGGTTTGCATATCACATGAGGCGCCATTAAGCTTTTCTCTTCAAGCACACAGTTCTTATGAGGCGGGAATGTGAGTGGGCAGAATAGATTCTGGAGACAAAAATATTCGCTCTCACACACCCACAAATTGATGGTGACCTGCTAGTGATTTGCCCTTCAGGAGCTCCGAGCGGAAAGCCAAAGCCCAGTTGTCTAAACAGGCACCTGCTAGAATGATATCCTTTTTCTGCTAAATAAGAGGCATCTATATTTCATACTGAGAACACTAGGCCGGATATGTGACCTGCACACTGCCATGGGATAGTACAGAGATTTAAAGTGAAACTACATATGGCGAGGGACTTCACCATTCAAGTTTCGTACAAGAACTGCATAGATGTTTCAGTACGAAGTGTGTGCACACAGGGTTTTATTTACAACCATTTAAAACGCATGTTGTTCCTGGGGGCCCACAAGCAGCGTGAATGGGACCTGTGATTAATGTGACTTATTCGATACAACATGATCTAGCTCAGCTACAGCATGTCTCTACTCCCTTAAGATTATTCCAGTTTGGCATTAGCACTGGCAGCTTGATAGTATCTGATTTCAATAATATGATGCAACATTTGTCAGCGTGATTACGTAGTTGCGTCACATCACTGAAAACAAAAGAGATGACAATGAGAAAAAGAGAGTGGAAAGATACTAAGGCCCAGATCCTCAAAGGTATATAGGTGCCTAACTCCAATTGAAATCCATGGGAGTTAGGCGCCTAAATACCTAGGAGGATCTGGGCCTAAGCTCTTGTCCCTCTTTATTTAGCTGCATGCTGTGGATTAGGGGAATATTTTTGCATTTCAGGTAGCTCTGTTGATTTCTATGTGTGTTTCCTTTTTGCTCTGGGTATTTTATTGCCTCAGGACCCACTTACAGAGCTGTATTTACTACTGATATGCCATACCATTAAGTGTGCATGGCACCTTACAGATGGGTTTTTAAAATAGCAGATCCAAAGCCACAACAGACCTCTAGTGACTCTCCCCAAATCCTGGGAATTAGCCAGGCTCCAAGTGACATCCTGGCATGCACTTTCCTGGAAAGCACATCACTGAGGCACTATTGTTTCTCCAGGATAATATGCAAAATAATGCAAACTCTGGTCTTTACATGGTATATTTCTACATGGATGGTGGAAAAAGCCTGGGAAACAGATCTCATGTTATTTTGGTACTATAAATGGGCCCTGGATGCAAAAAAGCCCATAAACAATGTATACAAAAACACAAATTCAGAGAAATGCAGGTTTCTCGGGGTTTGTCACAACCCAAATACACAGCCCTGCTTTTCATTTCCTTTACATCCACGGGTTTAGGGAGGACCCTGCTGCTCCCAGAAAGCTCCAGCTCCAGCCCACATTTTATTGACGGCATTGGGTAAGAAATGGACATGAGCAAGACTCCTCTTGAATTACCAATACTCATATAAAACACAGAGATAAGGGAGGGGCTGCACTGATTTAACAAGCACATAAGTCCACCAAGAGTTTCTGGAGACATCATAAACCCAGACAGCAAAAGATCAGGTGATTTATAATGTCACCCCAACACCCAAGATGGGATTAAATGAACGTAAATCACTGTGACCATTTATTTATAGGTATTATTTCTAATAACCCATATAATCTGTGAAAGGGGGAATTAACCCCATGGAGAATCTCACATGGATGAAGTTAAAACTCTTTCTCAAAACAGCCAGATGCTCATGCAAATACTGCCAGGGATGGAATGGAATGGAGCCACCTGGCAATCCAGTTGCTTGTAATAGACTAACAATTATTAGTGTCTCAGCAGGATCTCCGGGGGAAACATCAGAACCCTCCTGCACAAGAGTGAATTTAAATTGGAGCAGAGTGGGCTAGAAGCTGTAGGAAAACATGCAGCTGGTTCTGCTTCCTGGATATGGGGACTGTGGCTAAAGACAATCAATTTCCTTACTAGTTTAAGGCCAGATTCTCATGTCTAGCCATGGAGTGCTCAGTACAGCAGCAAGGAACAAAGTGGATTTAAGTCATCCCTTTGCTCTTCCAATCCTAGGAGAGCTGCTAGGAACCAGCAACCTGAAGGTATGGGTTTGGGTTTGGATTTGGGTTCAGCTTATATCTCATTAAAACATTCAAGAATAGTGCAACAGCTCCACCGGAAATGACATTAAAAGCTTTTATATAGTTATGAAAACAAGAGAACAGGGATTTTAGCCATGCTTCTAGTCAAGGCTTCAACTGAGACGTTTCCCAAACTGCTGCATACAGGGGATGTGCTTTAATAAAAGAAGTGAATTAAGACTTTATGTCATCAGATCAGTTGTTTAGAAATTTTAGTCTGGCTTCCTGTGCAGTCACTGCCACCCTCTCTAACTTATCATCCAAATAATCTATATTAAACTATTTAATGTGCAATGCCTGACCATGAAAGCAATCAGATGAGAGGATCCTTATTAATAGACAAGACTGGCAGCTTTCTCAGCAAGTTTCACAAATACGGGGTGGGGAATGGAGTTCTCTATTTTTTGAGGCGATGTCTTTCATGTGAAAGGCCACCCAATGTTCTGCTTAGTATCTCACTGGGAGTTTAGCTTGCATCACCCTTTGTCCCCAGATCAAAAACATTCAAAACCAGTAGATGCCGAAGACAGTCCCTAAAGAAATGTCAGTTGGGGAATTATGTATAGCTTGGTTAAGCAACAACTGAGGGGAGACATGGACACTGTTAGAACGTGAACTGTAAACACAAAGGTTCGTGGAATCAGAGAGGCAAAATACATTTTAGATCCTCCAGTCCGATATCTCAATAGAGATGCACCTGCAGACGTCAGGTCTGAATTTGGCCAATAAACACTGCCCCCATTTATTTAAAGCGTTTATGCTGATGTACATTCCAGGACTTTCCCCAAACTGTCAGCTTGCCTGACCACATGGGAAAGAGGAGGGCAGTACTAGAAAGAATGGCTGATCTGACATTGACTTTCACTGACCCTGCACAGAGTAAATGCACTTTGTAGGACTAACTCTTATTTCTTATTTGCAGGGAGCTTTTCTACAGCTCGTACTGTATGGTTGAGGGGAGAGATCAGACTGGGGATGTTATTGTCTTTTTACACTCACTAAGCAAGATGAATTGCTATATCTGTACTCTATACTTTTGGAATCCTCCTTCAGTTCCAACAAAGCGAACAAATAAAGTGCAATATAGGATTTCCAGACAGCACTTTAATTAGAGAAGGACCCAGATCTGAATGTCCCTTAACCTTGTCTGGAATCCAAACCCAGATCTGACTTTTGCAGCTAGTTCCTAACTCCATAAAACCCCAAATCTGAAAAACATAAACATTAGGGGGTCCAGATACAGAGTTCTGTGTAATTCATCTATTTGGGACCTACATAGCTAACACAATATGATACGACTTATTTCAGAATGAGATAACAAGGGATTTGTTTGCAAGCAGCATTGTGAATGTCAGAATCCTGATTACAGCCCACATTCAGTTCAGCTCCCGCATGTGTCCACAGGAGCGGGAGGAGGGCAAAAGCACTTCCATTCCTCGGATAGACCCTGCTCCCTGTAGCGAGGTCTGGGATTTGAGCATGGCCATGGCCCTATTCCCTCAGCACTGTCAGAAAAGGGAGTGCACACTGCACCCATTCAAAGGGTGGCAGAGCTGCTGCTCTGATATGTGCACCATTGGAGCCTCCAGGAGGAATTCCAGCAGAACCAGCCACAATGCTTCCTGAGGCCTCTGGCTACAGTGCAAGGCTACAGAGCAAGGCTCATCCACACAAACCAGAATCTAGCCCTGTATCTTAACAGATTCATCAGGGGACTAAGCAAAATCCAATTTTTACTCAATCTTGTTGGGCTAAACCAGTCTGAAATGACTGCAATTTCTCTACCAGTGATTTTTCATCCTTAATTTTAGGACAGCTGGTTTTCATAACCAAATTGAGTTAGAACACAATTTTTCAGGTGCTGTGACTCTGTAAGGAAAGGACATACTCAGAGTTCCTTTTGCCTCCTGCAGCGGTGACTTTTAGCTCAGAGTTGCAAATTGTGCATAAATAACTGCATATGCAAATATGCACACTAATAATTTTCATGTGCAATTACCATGTACGTATTCATAGCCATGGTAACTGTGTATGCAAATGACCAGTCAAATTTTTGAGTGTCCATTTGCACGTGATATCTCAGAAAATGCAAACAAAAATTATGTTTGCATTTTTGTGCAGACAGTTATTGGCACTCACTTCTGAAAATCTTTGCCTGCATGACTGGGAAGTGCTTGGTTTTATGAATAGCCAGCAAGACTCAAAATGTGTCTGGAGCCTATCTCCACATTTATATTGGCAGCAAAACTACAAGAAATGCTGTTAGAATTGGAGTACTTTGCATGATGGGCAATTTGAGGATTTTGTGAAGAGTGGGGTTTGGGGAGGATAAATTGTGCTATTATGTATGTCTCATTTCCAGCATGCAAAAACCTCTCGTTTGTAATGGCAAGCAGTGCACCACATACAGACTGAATGCACCAGGCCTAAGTGTTGTTTGCAGTTCCCATGAATTATTTCACAGTCTTTTCTCTTCATGTTCACTTTGAAGTCTGGAGACATTTGTGCTTCCCATATTCGCACGTCCAGTCACAGCGACAGATACGAAACTCTCACAGTTTGGTTGTGTTTCGTTGTCTGTCTCAAAACACGTAGAGTTTGTGTTCGGAGTCTATGGAGAAAAGGGACTTAGAGAAAGCAAATACCAAACAAAGAAAATAAACTGAAAGGGGAAAAAAATCAAATACATTATTCAAAATACTTATTTTAAAAGTTACAAAATAAGACGGTGTTAATGGCACTTAAAGCTATAAGCACTTAAAATATTTCCATCGTATTTTATCATCTTCTGATTTTTAGTTTTTTGTTGGTTATTTTCTTTTTTTTTTAACTTTTGTTTTGTTTTAGGGTTTTGTTTTTGTTTGCTTGTTTTTGGAGGGTATGACCAGCTCCTGTCTAAACCCTAACACACCAAAAGGGACATACAGCCCTGAGATTCTAAGGTTGCTCTGGTCCTCATTTTAGTATTGTAAATGCTCTTAAGTCTATTCTTTAAAATTCCAATTCGGCTACAGAGAACAGCCGGTTGCTGACATCATGCAAAGGCTATAGCTTTCTTTCTGTCTCTGTAGTATTACAGCATTAAAACTGAACTTCCTTCAGTGATATAAAGTGTGAACAAGAAAATTGTTAAAAAATTGGCCCACTATTTGATGCGTCAAGCAAAACATTGTATATATCTTTCCCCCCCTCTTTTAAACCATGTAGTGTTTGAACTTGCTTTTTATTCAGTATTTGCAAGTTTATATCAGATATTTCCTCTGAGGAAAAGGAAAACAATTTTTTTTGTATTTTTTTTTTAAATGAAAAAAGCAATCACATCCTTCAGTATGTCTGCCTTGATTTCACAACCAATGTCCAACTGGCTTCCAAGTCCAGGGACATGCTTTTGGAGTTTAGAAAGATAATGCATCTGTTTTTAAAAATGAAAAAAAAAATCTAGCTTGGATCACGTGCCAAAATGTAAACTCAGCCTTATTGAAAGTTGCTAGTTCATCCCAATTATTTCTCCTCTTTTCAATCACCAGTGGGAGGCTCAATGAAGCCATGATCAATTTAAAAGACACACAGTTCTCGCCTCTTTTTTCACCCTCCCACAGGTTCTTCTAACATAGCTGTCCTTTGCAAACATTATGCCATGGTGGTAGCACTCCAGTTGTATTGCCATGGTAAGTTTCTCCCTTTGCATTTTGCCACTGTCATCTTACACAGGCTGAAGTTCCCCATGTGTTGCTTTCTGTTGCCATTCTCCAGTGCTGTGTTTCTGATTCATTTTGGCAGAGCAAGCTTCAGTCATTATGGCACAGTGAAATATTCTTCGATGCTATGTAATTCAGACTGAATAAGGAGTCTGTATAAGGCACGTGTCTCAATAGATATATATATATATATGTATGTATATAAAAACACTAACATAAGTTAATTAAAGTCAAGCATCTTTTACATTTAATTTCTGTCTTCAAGTAATGTTTTGTTTTCATGTTCCCTTTCTTTGGTTTCAATGGGGATGGTTCCATTTTCCAGGTCCAAGTGTTGCTGAATACAGTTAGTCAGGATAGCTGTGCTAGAAGAGTTCTCTGAGTTACACATCTTCTCAGTCTCCTCTTCCTTCTTCTCTTCATCCAAGGAGAGGTGTCGGAAGGTCTCATAAATTTTCCGCACATCCTCGGGGATGCACTTTTTCAGGTCTTTGTTTTTCCTTTTGGTCAGCTTGGACGAGGAGCCAAACTTGTTGATGATGTTATCCTCAGATGACCCCTGCCCATGCTTGTTGAGCTGTTCTGTCCCTTTAAGGCGCAGGTTGTTAGGTCTGTTGTTGATGCTTTCCTGAGATGAGGCCTTGAAGCGTCCCGTCTCCAAGGCAGCGAAGACAGAGCGCTTTTCCGGAGAGAGCATATCCAGTGAGTGGGCCCTCTGGTCCAGCCCTAGGCGCCTACGTTCCATGCTCCGAATGGTGGCTGCCCTCTGAAGCTTGTCATGGATCTCCACGCTGAGCCGCCTCCGGGTTTCCCTGAATTCAGCAGTCACGTTGGCTTTCCATTCAGCCGCGTGGGCTTTTATTTCACCAACCTTCCAGAAAACAAACAAACAAAAACATGCTAAGGAAAGAGGGAAATTCTCACTGTAGAATAACAACACACATTTTTACTCTATGTCATAGAATTAGAGATTGGTCAGAGCTGAAAAGACTCGATCTGGAGCTGGAGCCTGCTCCAAACTTCCCCAAAATTTGGCAGGGGTAGCATCAGGCTCAGCTTTAATCATACTATGTCTAGACGGGCTAACGACTTGTATCTCACATAGTAAGTTCTTTATCTTCTTGCATTTGGCTGCCACCAGTGGACATTTTATGTCCAGCTTGCAAGTCAGAAGGATACTCTCACACTCTGACCAACCCTTTCTTCATTAGGGAAACAATAAAACCACTAATTGATAACCTCTGTGCACTCGTCCAGTAGATAGGCAACTCAAAGAACCATCAGCAACCAAGGATTTTTCCATATGAGGCTTTGAGGTCTTTAATAACTAAGAAGTCATAAACATAATTATATAGAGACCTATTTCCCAAACTGTGATCACAATTACACCTGTGCAATCCCATTGAAGGTTCTGTACTGAACCCTGCAATGATTAATTTAGGTAAAATCTATATTCTTATTAAAGTATTTTAAATACTGGAAGAAACTTATGGTCCATCTAGTCTGGTATCCTGTCTCAGAAAGTTACCAAATGCTTCAGTCTTTAACGGGAAGTGTAAAAATCTCCATAATTCACTTGAACTATCCAAACATTATATACCAAAGTGTTGGAATTTCTTCCAAATGCCAGCTGCTGATCAGTTTGTTTCCTAAAGCACAAGGATTGAAAACACTTGGGAAATTCCCTGTGGGTGCTTCAAGGAGCCATACAGTTCCATTCTAACGTCCCTAAGTGATTTATTGTTATGTTATGTTTCTAGCTCCAGGCACATGAATACAGAATAATGACTTAGGAACAGGGAGCTCACATAGCTACTGTGTTGTATAAATATTTCTTCTGACAGAAAAAAAGAGAGAGAAATGAATAACTGATGTTGAAGCCTGTCCAGGCCTTTCCCAAGGTCCAACTTGAAAAGAGAATAGATTTAAGCTGATATCGCATCTGATCAGCCCACCAACACAAACCAAATTCTTCCATAATGCATCTCACTTTGTGTCCTTGGAGATACACCAGAGACACATTTGGCCTCAGGTGACTCAGCTGACTTCACAAATAACTCTTGATAATGAACAGCAGTACTAATTTGGCAAACAACTTGTTGGTTATGCATTCCCTAACTAATCTGCCAAAGAGAATTTGGGCCTTGGCTACACTTGCGCTGTACAGCGCTGCAACTTGCTGCGCTCAGGGGTGTGAAAACGCACCCCCCCAAGTGCAGCGAGTGCAGCGCTGTAAAGCGCCAGTGTAATCAGTGCCTGCAACGCTGCACGCTCGCTCGCAGCGCTGCAAGCTATTCCCCTCGGAGAGGTGGAGTACATACAGCGCTGCGAGAGCTCTCTTGCAGTGCTGGCGGCGCAACTACACTCATGCTTCACAGCGCTGCCACGGCAGCACTGTTAATCCCCAAGTGTAGCCAAGGCCTTTGTTGGGATGTAGGCGGGGTGAAATTAACCACATTATGCTTAACAGTATAATGCTGGAGCCAAGGCAGCTACCCTCACTTTCCACCCTGATTATTAGTGAGTCACTAGTATATTGTTTTCCCTTCCCTATGAACTGTGAAGAACAGTGTTTTGGCTGAAATTAACCAAGGGCAAGTGGTACTAGGACATTGACTGCTCTTGCCAAAAGTGGCTAAAGTTTCCTCTGTTTTTTTACAGTATATTTCTACTTCATTTTCACAGAGATGGGCCTGAACCCAAACCCTGACTCTGAACCACTATCCCTGAATTTAGGGGAAGCGGGGTTCAAAATCCACCACAGATTAAAGTTTGACTCTTGCTTTATAATAGGCTGATCCAAACCCTGGGGTCAAATATAAAAGATACGCTATACCTCAAACAGAAGTTTTGGGCTTGATGTAGGAATTACTGGGTGAAATAGTATGTTGGCCTGTGTTATGCAGGAGGCCAGACTAGACAATCATAATGGTCACTCCAGGCCTAAAAAAAAAAAAAATCTATGAATCCCCAGTCCTTTGCAAGTGAGAGGAAGTTAAATTCTGGATCCTGATTTTGTGGCCAATTTCTAATTTTGTGGTGGAGGCTCTCTTCTCTTTTTCCATAATGATAGTGCTATAAATCCTAAGATCATGCAGTCTCTATAGGGCTATAATGCTAATGACATAGAGTCTGAGTCAGTCAATTCCTTTTTTTTCTCCCTCTCTCATTAAGGGATCAAGAGATCAGAGCCATTAAGTCACACAGTAGAATACAAAAAAGGAAGAGGCTTGAAAAGAAGCAGCCAAAAGGGTAAATACAAGGGATTATTTAGCATTAGTTCAAATAAGGGACCATCCCTCCCTGGCCAGCAGTGATCTGGCATTTAAAGTTCTCTTATAAAGTGATAAATCATTGATCAACTAGCAGTCATACCTCTTCTTTTGTCTTCTTGGATAGAACTCTTAGCCAGTCTCCAATCATACTCAGGACAGCAGCAAAGTAGGCAAGGCCGACGAGGATCCAAAACCAGACTAAGGGCTTGTACCACTCCCGATAATGGATATCAGTATTTCCCCCTGAAATAAGCATACATGGTTCTGTTCGTGCGTAGGAACCATGAGATGGCAAAAATATTTAGCACCAGGCCTTCTACAATTCATGGAAACTCATGAAAGTATTTCCTGGTTCTCATTAATAGGTTCCTTCTGTCCTATGAAATGACTACAAGTTTGTCTGGTCTGAGAAACAGCTGGAATCCCCAAGCTCCTTCCTACACTGGAATCCCCAAGCCCCGTCCTAAAATGGTTTAATGTTCTGCTGCTGTGTGTCTGATCAGAATATTCCATAAGTTTTTTCTTTGCATTAAATAATATTGTGGAGGAAGGTATTGGATCCCCAGTTTTACTGCTTGTTTAAGGGCACAAACAACTTTTCAAAGACTAAGCCTAATACAGGTAGAGAATATCATTTTCTGATATACCATACACTATATTTAAATCAGTGATAGACCAGTAAAAGAACCCCCTGTGGAATATACATTATTGAAAATATTTTGATCTGAAGCACATTTCACTAAATTCTACACATGAGCCCAACCTGAAACATCATATTTGAATCAGGATCCCAACTTCCATAAAGCTGGGGCCTGTTTGGATCTGGGGATTTGACCTGGTCCAGTCTAGAAAGAGGGACCCTTCTGACTATTCAGGGCCATCTAGATCCAGAGTTTGGATTTGGGCTCTTCACTTGTTATATTTTCAGTTTTATCTTAAACAGTTTCAATCCAGATACAGAATCTAATTTTCCTGTTTTACATTTTGGCCATTAATTAGCATATTTAATTTTATTTAAGGAAGATGCACTCCAGTGTTACACATCTATATGTTTATAGCCAGAGACAGAACACAGGATTTGTCCCCACTGACAACCCATGCTACAATTGAATGTTTTTCCCCCTGAGCTTTTACAGGCTGTTTGCAATCTGATACATTCTAATGAGCCCTTAAAATGAGTTTTACCCAGCCTGAGCATGAGTGTACTTACAATGATTGAACACTCCCTTGAAAGCCCAGGCATTCGGGTGCTGGCAAGGACCCAAATATTGTTTTTGATTCTAATCTCTCTTCATACACACTATGAATCACTTTGCCTTTCCAGTCCTCCACCATGTGAACCAGAGGGAGGTTTGTCATTGCTATAGTACAAGGAGGCCACTCTGGTCACACATGTCTCAGTGGAAGATTCTATAAAGTGGATTGCTGTGGTCTGTCACATTGAATAGCCAGGCAATGGATGGAGTACCACACTATCTTTCCCAGCCTATCAGATTTTCCACTGCGTCCAGCAACAGCAACCACTTTTTCCAATTTACAGAGACACTGGGCCAAATTCTCAGATGGCATAAATCAGTGCAGTTCCCTTGTTATTACTTTACCTCACAGGAGTGTATCTTTATCCCCATTTTACAGATAAGGAAACTGAGGAAGGGAGCGATTAAAGAGTCTTCCTCATGGTCTCACAGGAAATCTGTGGCAGGACCAGAAATAAACCACAAATCTCCTGCTTCCCGCTCCAACGCTCCTATCATGAGATCATCCTTGAGGCTTTTGGGTTACATTCCATTTGGTTCTAGTAAAACATCAGCTGTGGGCTGCTGAATGATTTTGGATTTTATTCTTCTGGCCATTTTAGCTGTCAGACTTTTTTTTTTTAGGTTTAAAGATCTAATATTTTAGAATTAAATTAAAAAAAAAACAGTGAGGAAGGGAAACTTCCACAGACCCAGGAAAAATATTGTGAAACACCCACATTTCTTTGGTTACCTTCTTATGATACCACAAAAACCCAACCATCAGTAGATTCTTCTATCCAATATTCTTCACATTCAAATAGTTAAAGATGGACCAAAGTCAAAAAATTCAGATCTGGATCTGAATTTTCCCATAGTTCAGGTGTATTCAGATCTGGGGTTTGATTCAGGCCCATCTGCACAGATAACTCATGTCTTCCCTACCAAAATAAGAAAGGGAGGGTGAGGGGACTGTTCATAAAAGAACAACTTTTAGCAAGCAAACTGGTCACCAACTGGTTGAATTTGAATTGTTATAACTCACTCAGATTTCATCGGTGTAATGGGAGATAACAGGACAATTGCATAGTACATCTCTTTGCAACACAGGGATCCAGACTCGTCTCAACACATTTGTTATAGCCAGTAAACATTAATGGGAATGGAGCTCACATACCAATGGGAGAACAGATTTCTCTCGGTTTCTAACCACCTTTTCCTCAGCAATGCTGCTGTGACCACCAATCCCAGGACAGCCCCTTTGCTGGTAATTGATGGGGATGAATATTTATGGTATCTGTTTAGGACTGCACTCATCCCAGAAAATACACCGTATGCACATAACACTCAAATGCACATCTCTTAGTCCCGTTTCACTTCTAATGTTAGTTTTCCTTAATGGGATGGCTGCAGTATCAAAATTTCTATCGAGGTTAGAGAGTAAAATCCTGCGAACTGTCTCCTAGAAAGCTGCAGCTCATGCCATGGAAGCTGTGCTCCTGTTACAGCAGCTATCAGCTCTATTGGACTGCACAGCTCACACATGGCCATCCAATGGGAAAGTCTCATCAGTGCATCCCCTTAGCTACTTGCTTCACCTATTAAAGCCTTTATCAGTATGATGCAAAAGGCATAATAATGTCTTGAATTCAATAGGAAATTAATTTCACTCATGCACAATTCATAGCTGATAAAGGACAGTAAGAGGTTCCAAGAGGAAGATACTCATTTTGCTTACACTGCTCAGAGCTTGTGCTCGTCAGATGGCTAGACACCTGGATTTTAAATTAGCTTGTACTGCTGTGTTATTTGTCAGTTGCACAGTGACACAGATGAAGACATTCGGAATCATTTTCAATGGAATTCAATATGTTTTTAAAAGCCTGCTATGCACCTTAGAAAAATGTGTTGGAGGGTGACATTTCAATGCTCAGATTACTTACCTGCTACAAAATCGCCAAAGCCAACCGTGGTCAGAGTGATGACCACAAAGTAAATGGACTCCAAGGCTGTCCATCCTTCAATCTGTTTGAAAATGACTGCAGGGATGGTCACAAAGACAATGCACCCTGCGAGGATGAAGAGGATAGTGGAGATCACCCGGATCTTTGTCTGACTCACTTGTTTTTTCTAGAAAAGGGAACAACAAGAGAGAACACATTTTTGATAGATTATTGATGCTTTTCCCCCAGTTGTTGAATTTAACATACATTGCAGGACTGGTCCTGTAAACAAGCCCTTAATAACAATCCTTGTTGTGCCTGGTCCCAAAGCACTGCTGCTCCTGCTGGTACTTCTGCCTTTTTCCCTATATTAGGCTGAACCTCTCCACAACATCTACCCTTTGTGCTGGGCTCCAGTGCAATGCTGCTCCCTATTTCCCAGTCAGTGGCATGTGTGCTAACCTACATGAAGCTTGGAGTGCTCCACATCCCAGAGCAAATGAGATTGTGACTTGGAGTAGCTAAGGATCCATTGCAGGTTCAGAAAAATTAATGGGGAGTACATACATACATGCGTGCGCACACACACACACAAAATACCAGTATTGTCAACCCCAAGCAGTCAAAAATCATGAGTCAGGTGTAAAAAAATCATAAAATTGGCTTAAAAATCATGAACATTTTAAATAATAATACTTGTGGGGGGGTCTTTTTATTTGATTTCTGAGCCTTTAGGGTGCATTCAGGTCATATTTTCCAGCTTTTCACAACAACCACGAGGGCTAGAAACTCACTATTTTTTTAAATGAAGGCTGGAATTCTCATGTAATCCCCTGACTCCAAGAGATGTGGCTCCAAGTAAAACACTAGATATCGTGAGCCTGGAGATAACATTTTGAGAGCTGGCAACACTGCATGGGGATCCGTGTAAAACTATGCTGTTGAGCCTTTAAGCTGGAAGAGAAAGAAAGTTCTAGCTGCTGTAAATTAAATACCTACATCAGTGATGTAATATTAATTTTTTCAACCCTGGTTGATACAGCTGAGGTCACTGGGTCAAGATTCTGATTTCAGTTATCTCAACAGTCAACAGTTAACTCTGTTGACTTCAGTGCAATTGTTCCAAATTTACTATGCTATAAATGAACTCAGAATTTGGTACAACAGCCCAAGAAATCACTGGTCTATTGTAGATTATTTTAAACTCCAATTTAAATTTAATATGTTTATCCTATAGAGAGAATGTGGAGGTTAAGATGTATATTACATGTTTTCAAATTAGTTCTCCAAACTATGTGCCTTAATCCAGAACTGAGGTCTCATTTCAGATTAGATCATCTAGAAAGGAAATAAGGTTTCAGAAATTGTCTTTATAATATCCCTGGAGGCTATGGACTAAACTGGACAGTTATCAATCTAACCAGCCAGTGCACAGTCCTATTGTTCTTCTCAGAAGGAGTAGAAACTGCATTTCCTTGGAGCCTGCAAAGTTGAATTGTGAAAGGTTGCTTGAATATGAGACACAGCAGACAACACCCAGGTAATAGCCTAAATACATTATGTCTCATAAATGCCATTTAAAAACAAATATTGTATGCTATTCTTCCCCTCACTTATTTTTCTGAACACTTGTGTTTACCCTTTGTCTATTTTTGGAGAGCTAACAGGAAAAGATTACAGTAAACATGACTAATCCAATGCAAGACCTGAAAAAAAATCATACTCAAATACCAAGCAGATAAACAACGCTAGAGTATTCAAACTTACTCTCTATTTTTTTCCTTTGGGGAATTATTTTGCTTTGAGGAGCTTTCTGAAAACATTAAAATCCGATATAACTTCATTAGGAATTGTTTCTTGCTGAGATAAACCCAGAATTGCAGGATTCCACTTTGTACTGTTTTGTATGACGTGTAGCTTCTCTCCCTAGTCCCCATATGTCCACGTCAGCATGCATTTCAGTGTGAGTGACAATTCAGTCTCTGCTTATGATAGGACAATAACTGGAAGATGCTGGGTGTTACAGATCAGGACCAGGAAACACTTGGGACATCTGCTTGTTCAAGCCAGCATTATAATTCCCTCAATTTCATGGACAATAAACACAGCCAAAGGTTTTTAAGAGAAACGAAAAATGACCATTTGCTCATATAAAGGTAATGTGCACCACACAACTGGATGGAGAGCCATCAGGCCTGATTCACTACTACCCTGCACCACCATTTACACCAGGCAAAGCAAGGGTAAAATGCCACCAGACCAGAATAGTAGTATTGTACATTCACTGTGCATTAGCATAAATGATTATACAAGGACAATAATGAATCAGGCCCATCATTTTTAGAGCTAGTGAAAATAGCACAAAAGCAAATCCCCTCCCCCCTTCTCCCACCCCCGTTACATTATTTGCTGGACAGTAATATGTGGAATCCAGTATACAAGTAGATAGGCAGACTGAATTTTTTTTCACAGTATGGACTAACATCCTAGTCAAAAGCTTGTCTCATGGTGTGACACAGAGCCAGACTGGGTTACGCGACTAGCAAGCTAAATGATGCAAATTCAACCTTTAAAGACATATTAGAAAAATATATAAATGGTAATTAAGGCCATTCCTTAGAATTAGAAGAAGATAGTGATTGTATTTGTCTGTGTTTATCTATATCAGGGGTTCTCAAACTGGGGGTCGGGACCCCTCAGGGGGTCATGAGGTTATTACGTGGGGGGTCGCGAGCTGTCAGCCTCCACTCCAAACCCTGCTTTGCATCCAGCATTTATAATGGTGTTAAATATATAAAAAGGTGTTTTTAATTTATAAGGGGGGGGTCACACTCAGAGGCTTGCTATGTGAAAGGGATCACCATTACAAAAGTTTTAGAACCACTGACCTATATCTTGTTAGAGGTTAGCAATGTAACCAGACGTTCCTGTCTGTTACTATATTCTATTAACTGAGAGATCGAAAGGGGATCTTAACATTTAGATGAAACTTGGGTGTAATATCATTGTATATATTTCTCTTTAAAGTTTGTAGCAAACTGTCTATGAACTGCTTAATGGATAATTACCTTATGCTGATGAATGCAACTAGTTACCTGTGTATACATAGGAAATAGGAGGTCTTATTTCAAAGCCACAATGCTTCACCCAAGGAATACCTCCTGTCCAAAGACTATTGACAGCCTGCCAGAGATCGGTAAAAGAACTCTAGGGCCCTGATCCTGTTATCTCAGATCTGCTTAAGCTTGGTCAGGGGAAGCTTGAGTCACAAGACCAAGGTCTTCAGCTCCAGTCTGGATTACCCTGCTAACTCTCATGGAATAAATTCAATAATCACTGTATATGGACTGCCTATTTGGACTATAACCTGATGAACTGATTCTGGAAAGAACTTTTTGCAGTTCAGCAGCTCACCATCTCTACTATGAAACTGACCTAAGAACAGGTTTCAGAGTAGCAGCCGTGTTAGTCTGTATCCGCAAAAAGAACAGGAGTACTTGTGGCACCTTAGAGACTAACAAATGTATTTGAGCATAAGCTTTCATGGGCTACATCCCACTTCTTCTCTGCATCCGAAGAAGTAGGATGTAGGCCATGAAAGCTTATGCTCCAATAAATTTGTTAGTTTCTAAGGTGCCACAAGTACTCCTGTTCTTTTTGACCTAAGAACTTTATTCATACCTGTATATATAATGACCTATTAACCACAATACTCTCTCTCTCTTTTCTTTTTAATAATTTTTTAGTTTAGTTAATAGAATTGGTTGTAAGCGTGCATGTATTTGTGTGAGATCTGAAATATTCATGGACCTGGCAGGTAACGTGTCTGATCCCTTGGGATTGGTAGAACTTTATGATTAACAAGATTTTCAGTAATCCTCATATTTGCCTTGACTGTCTGTGTGGGAGCCCAAGACTGAATTGCTTTAAGGAAGCTGTATTTTTGGCTTGTGGGTAACCAGTAAGGTGTTGTAGAAGCTGTTTTTTGCTGGTTTGGTGAATCTAATTATTAGAATAACCACCAATTTGGGGGATCATCTGCCCCATTCTTTGCAGTTTGCCCTGATTGAGCAATCTCAATGTGGCCCCCCACCAGGCACCAATGGTCACACATAGATACCTCCCTACTCATTCACAGTTGTGTGCACCCATGTCCTGTCCCTTTTGCAACTGCATGGGCAACCTCCTTTTCCATTCATGATTGCACAGCATCCCTGTGACAACTTCAACAACAGTTTACATTGAAAAGAATTTAATATTTTTTCCTGTCTTTTAATGCAGTGTAGCAACTGAAAGCAACAAGGGAAAGCCAGCACCATATGACCACCCAGCTCGCTCTGAGCCACCAGCAAATGCTCTGCAGACCAGTTCTTGGAAACCACCAAAATAGACCAGAACTGGATCCTTCAGTTTGACTGTCACTGGCTGGCTGGCCAGGCTCAGCCTCGCCCCCAGCTAATGGTGATTCAGCAGCTTACTGATAATTAGTTACTCCCGCTGCAGGGAGTCAGGAAGGATGACTTAAACAGAGCTGGGAATTCACTCTGAGGGGAGAGACTGCAAAGGAGGGTCCAGCAGTTTGGGGCTGGCTGTAGTCAGAGAGCAGAGCCATGGGAGTAGAGCTAATTCCTAAGATGAACCCCTGGAACACGGGGCAAGCATCCATGAAGACAGTCCTGAGGCTGGCATTCTGCAAGGGCAACAGGAAATAGAAGAGACCCAGAGTGAGCAGGGCAGGATCCAGTGGGTGATGCCTGAGATACGGCTCCTCCTGCTCCTTGTAGGCAGTCCCTGCCAGAATCCCGGGGGAAGGGAGACAGTAAGGAATCCTGCTGGGGAGAACAAACATAAGAGAAGCTCTGCAGGGGCCACAAATAGGACTTCAGGGGAGCCTGAGAGAGGCACAAGAATTATTAGTCTGAGCATTTGTCATGGACTTTCAGTTTGACCTTGTGTTACTCCAGAAGGCATTTGAACTTGTATGTGACTTGGCTTGGATTTCTGCAATGCTGCCTCCAGGCATGAGGAGGCACTATTCATGGTGAATGTGCACATTGCATAGGATTGGGTACTTGAGGTGGGGCTTCGGGCCACTGAAGGGAAAAGCCACCATGTTAGTGCTGTAAAACTACGCAACCAAGAGGAAACTGAAATAAAGAGCGAAGAGACAGGGTCGTCTCCCCACCC